TTGTATAGTTGTTTTGCTATATGGGTGTTGAATAAATATAACTGAGCAGGCGCCTGCTAGGCATCCTAAGAAACGGGTGAGCATAAAAACGTGGAGATGGGCATCAAAATATATATATATATATATATATATATATATATATATATATATATATATATATATATAATATAAAATATATATATAAAACAAAAGTAGAACTTTTTTTTAATGATGCGTCCTCTGAGGGACTTTATCAAAACAAAGGTAAGGATTGTATTTTGCAATAGGTATTTATAAATATTTGTAAAAAAAAATATCGTTAAGCTTTCAAAACTTTTAAATTTAAGAAGGCTTACAGATATACTTCAGTCTAACTGTGAAAGTCAAGGTAAATTATGAAGGATGGTAAATAATGTAATTTAATGTCTAATAAACAAAAGTGTGTAAACGTTATCATTGTCTATGATTTTCATATTTGCTTGAAATGTATTTTTCTATTTTAAATTGGAAAATTAATTTATGTATATATTTATTTTAAATAATAGATTTTGATTTAAACATTCTTTTATTTTAATTTTTATGGTCATGTATATTGGCTTGGGTAAGAAGTATATCTTTTAGGAAAGATGTAATTTAAACAATCCAGGGCGCATATTTATATTTTGGCAAAATTCGATAATACCACTCTCAAGATCTTTCCGTCTAAATAAGTTATTTTCTCTTTTAATAAGTGTGGTATATATATATATATATATATATATATATATATATATATATATATATATATATATATATTCACCCCATGCAAGGCAGTAAAGCCACTAAGCTTAAATTCAAAAAAGTCTAGGTACCATGGTGATGAGTTCATCCGAACAATTAACATGAAAGTATTTATAGAAAAGCCACAAGATCCGCTTATATATATATATATATATATATATATATATATATATATATATATATCAATATATATATATATATATATATATATATATATATATATATATATATAATTCATAACTTATCCGAATTCCGTCTACCTTAGCGCACTAGTTGGCAAACCATTTCCCAAGAGTAGTAAATTAGTGTAGCCTATTCTTGTGGCCTTGTGTCAGGACTATGCTAAGAATCAATAATAATCACACATAAAAAGTAAAACTAGAAATTATATGCCCCTAAATATGAATGTCTATTAAATAGATAGATAGATAGATAGATAGATAGATAGATGAACTTACTGAATATATATATATATATATATATATATATATATATATATATATATATATATATATATGTAACTCTTCCTGTCCTTTGTATGACAAATTTAAATGTCCTTTTGCTATCTCTCTTAATCCCTGATCTGCTAACCATTTACAAAAGCTCATTAGGTAGTTTATTTGTTAATTTTTCTCTTGCTTTCAGTAAGTCTTGTGAATGTTAAATTTTCTGAGCCTTCTTTCCTCATTACGTGAAAACTTCAACTGTCTTTTTTCTGATTTTAAATATAAATGTCCTTTTTGTTTCCATTTTACTTAAACTTCGTCGTTGCTCACATATTCATATCCATGGTATTTTCAGCATCCTCCTGTAGAACCATATTTCTGTTGCCTCAAGTCTCTTCCTCATCTGATTGTCCTGCATTCAACACCATATAGGAGAACTGCATATGAAGTATTGCTGCCATATATGGTCCGGTGCCCCTTCTGTTTGTCTCAAGGTTCTTGATAAGATCCAAAGACGGATATGCAATGTAATTGGCCCTGATCTGGCATCTCGTCTGCAGTCGTTCTCTCACAGACGTGCCGCCGTCTCCCTCTGTCTTTTTTACAAATACTTTCATGGTAACTGCTCCGATGAACTGATTTCGCTGGTTACCAGACTTCATGAATTTAAACGTCCTACTAGGCTGGCATCTCGCTCACACCCTTTCAGTCAAAACTGTTAAATGTAGACGTCTCTTCTATTCCAAAGCTTCATGTCTCGCACCTCTCGCCTGTGGAGTTTGCTCTCTTTTTCCTATTTCCCTGATAGCTATAATCTCAAACAATTCAAATATAGTGTCAATCGACGTCTCCATATGTCTTGATCTATCCCCCTATCCTTCTCTTCATCCTTTCCTCTATCACTCCTATTTGCTCTCGCTCCAATTCTCTGTAACACCTTGCGTGCTAGTGGCTTCCCGCCTTGCTTAGGGTGAAACGCTTTAAAAAAAAATAGGAATTTTTGGCTAGCGTTATGAAAATGAATCTACTTAGATCTTCCGGTATATCACCACTATCGTATATATCATTTAAAGCGTCTATAATTTTGTCAATGACGAAATCATCTAAAGCTTCCAGTATCTCTGTTACAATTCCATCTTGTCTTGCTGACTGTTCAATTTTGTCAGTGCTGATTTCACTTAGACCTTTAATATTTCTGGTCTTTCCATATTTTTTTTATTGCAGGTTTTCCTCTTTCGTCGTGAAAGAGTTCTCCGGTGTGGTTGTTTCAACTTTCAAGTATTTTTTGCTATCATTAACGTTCCTACTTTTGATTTTATACATCCTGTTAATGAAAAAATCTTTTGCCCTGATATTTCTTTTATTCTTATGTTCTATATCTGCCTTATTTGTGCTGCTCATTTTTTTCTATTTCAGCAGACTTTTCGTTGAGCCATTCTATTATTGTCTGTCTGCATTTGTTTCAAATTTCATTGTGCAGTGTCCTACATGAAGCCACGAGGCTGCAAATTCCACTTGTTCATTTGGACACTCCTCTGACAGTTAAGTCCGCAAACATAAATTTTATTTGCATGTCTTTTGTCTATTTGGGAATACACTCCTTTGTACATTAAACCGTTGAATTTAATACTGTCGTTCAGTTGCTTCTTTTCTTCAAGTGTGATCGTCTTTGTATTCGACTTTGTGGAATTTAACTGCGCAGAAGGAAAATCTTTACAGAATTCTCCTATCATTCCTTAGTTTGGTATTCAGGTCACCCGCGTTCGATTTCTTACCATTTGTATTTATCCAAGGTGTTGTCTAATGTATGATACAACTCTTCAATTCCTTCTTCCGTAGCCTGTGTTTTCATTGCATATACATCTACGACGGCTATTTTAAAAGGCTTCCCTTTCAAATAAACTGCAAGAATCCTAGCAGTTGATAGTATCCCAGAACACATTTCTTCACGTCTTGGCCTAATACGAGTCCTGTTCCCCTCTATGTTTTCTCTTCGCCTGCATATATGACCCCTATGTTTGTCACTAACTAAATTCCCACTTAGTTTTGCATGCACCTAAAATATTAACATTTAACCTATCCATCTCATGCTTTACGTTATCTAACTGTTCATTATCCTTTCCAGTGACCGTTTCTTGCAACAATCGCATGATAATGCTGTATCCAGTGAAATTGAAAAGATTGTGATTTTCATTGTAGCCATCTTTTATTTTTTAAGTTCTGGAACTGGTTTTAGTTATTGATCATTAAAAAATAAAGGTGAAACGTCGTCGTTTTCAGTTTGAACATTTAAACTGAAATGGCCGATATATTCTGAAGTAAGTTTCATTTTCACATTTTAATTTGCATTTTTATTTTATGACAAACTTTAATTTTTTTAATGACCTTTCTGATAGCAACATTTAATTTTTAATGATAAAATCATAAAATATGTATTAGGGTTTAAAATACTGTAAAACTACCGTGCTTACTCATACTTTAATGAAGACTGTTTCTTCAAGTTGTCAGGCATTTTTATCTGGTTATATCTTGTATATGCATTCGGCTTTCTTGAAACTAAGAAAATCAAATAATAAAAACAGCTCTCAAAGAGAGAAAAACATCCAAAGATGTAAGATATCATTTTAATCTTCTATATAAGACATTTAAAGATATAATTAGACTTTTTATTTCATAAATATGCCACCCAAAATGATAATCATAAACTCAAGTTCGATTAATTATCGCTGTTGTCTTTAGAAATGTATATTTTAACTCCAAAAATATTTTCAATTTTCTTTCCATTCACAGGAGAGAGATTTTATCTATATTCTTTGTCCTTGGAGCATGAGACTTGCTCAAGATTATGCCGTAATAGACTTTGCACTCAGTGTCTTTCAGGGATGCGAAGTGACTTGAGATTAATTCCTAGCCGAGAAAGGAGACCCATGATTAACCTGATGTCAGTTGCAACACCAACAGGTCTCGGAACAGGTGCGTCTGATATGTGCGCGCTTGTGAGAAAAACCGTTGGACAAGCAGTTATGTAAATATCCACTTCCTTGGGAAGGTGGTCAGCCTCTCCCAAACATCCTATACGAGAATATAGTGTCCACGTTTTGGATGAAGGTGGGAGATGGATACGTACACATGAACTGACCGACAGTAACTGACGAAATACCGCGAATAAAAATAAGAGATTCAAGCTTCGTAAAATTCATTTGTGAGCACGCATCTTCATTGTTTTGCGTGTTGTCACTGTCTTCTTGTAGTCAAACAGCAATTTCTCAGGCCCCAGCGCTGAATGAAAGACGAACAGTTTTCTTAGGTTTCTGTTCCTCGTTTTATTTCAGGGCACATGACACAATAATAGTAGAGCATCGTTTCTTGCAGGAGGCGGAAGGAAGAGGGTGACTGAGATGACAAATCTCAACACGTTGGTCAATAATTTGCCTTGGCTTCTTAGTCTACTAAAGCCAGGCATAGCAAGGAATCTGGGGGCGGAGATGAGTCTTCAAGCTTCTATTACTACCACCTTTGCGCGTTTTCTGTCTTATATTAAAACTTACACAAAGACAAGCCATCTATGTCAGTATTCCACGCACACAAAGACAGGCCATCTCTGTCACAATTCCACGCACACAAAGACAGGCCATCTCTGTCAGAATTCCACGCACACAAAGACAGGCCATCTCTGTCACAATTCCACGCACACAAAGACAGGCCATCTCTGTCACAATTCCAACGCACACAAAGACAGGCCATCTCTGTCACAATTCCACGCACACAAAGACAGGGCATCTCTGTCAGTATTCCATGCACACAAAGACAGGCCATCTCTGTCACAATTCCACGCACACAAAGACAGGCCATCTCTGTCACAATTCCCAGGCCATCTCTGTCACAATTTCACGCACACAAAGACACCATCTCTGTCACAAAAGACAGGCCATCTCTGTCACAATTCCACGCACACAAAGACAGGCCATCTCTGTCACAATTCCACGCAAAGAGGGCCATCTCTGTCACACAAACAGACAGGCCATCTCTGTCACAATTCCACGCACACAAAGACAGGCCATCTCTGTCACAATTCCACACACAAGACAGGCCATCTCTGTCCAATTCCACACACAAAGACAGGCCATCTCTGTCAGAATTCCACGCACACAAAGACAGGCCATCTCTGTCAAAATTCCACAAACACAAAGACAGGCCATCTCTGTCACATTCCACAATTCACACAAAAGACAGGCCATCTCTGTCACAATTCCACGCACACAAAGACAGGCCATCTCTGTCACAATTCCACGCACACAAAGACAGGCCATCTCTGTCAGAATTCCACGCACACAAAGACAGGCCATCTCTGTCACAATTCCACGCACACAAAGACAGGCCATCTCTGTCAGTATTCCACGCACACAAAGACAGGCCATCTCTGTCACAAACGCACACAAAGACAGGCCATCTCTGTCACAATTCCCACGCACACAAAGACAGGCCATCTCTGTCACAATTCCACAAAGACAGGCCACCTCTGTCCACACAAAAAAGACAGGCCATCTCTGTCACAATTCCACGCACACAAAGACAGGCCATCTCTGTCAGTATTCCACGCACACAAAGACAGGCCATCTCTGTCACAATTCCACGCACACAAAGACAGGCCATCTCTGTCACAATTCCACGCACACAAAAATCAGGCCACCTCTGTCAGGCCACCCTCTGTCAATTCCACGCACACAAAGACAGGCCATCTCTGTCACAATTCCACGCACACAAAGACAGGCCATCTCTGTCAGTATTCCACGCACATTCCCATCTCACAATTCACGCACAAAAGACAGGCCATCTCTGTCACAATTCCACGCACACAAAGACAGGCCATCTCTGTCACAATTCCACGCACACAAAGACAGGCCATCTCTGTCACAATTCCACGCACACAAAGACAGGCCATCTCTGTCAGAATTCCACGCACACAAAGACAGGCCATCTCTGTCAGTATTCCACGCACACAAAGACAGGCCATCTCTGTCACAATTCCACGCACACAAAGACAGGCCATCTCTGTCACAATTCCACGCACACAAAGACAGGCCATCTCTGTCAGAATTCCACGCACACAAAGACAGGCCATCTCTGTCACAATTCCACGCACACAAAAACAGGCCATCTCTCTGTCCCATTCCACGCACACAAAGACAGGCCATCTCTGTCACAATTCCACGCAACAAAGACAGGCCATCTCTGTCATAATTCCACACACAAAAAGACAGGCCATCTCTGTCACAATTCCACGCACACAAAGACAGGCCATCTCTGTCAGTATTCCACGCACACAAAGACAGGCCATCTCTGTCAGAATTCCACGCACACAAAGACAGGCCATCTCTGTCAGTATTCCACGCACACAAAGACAGGCCATCTCTGTCACAATTCCACGTCACAAAGACAGGGCATCTCTGTCACAATCCCACGCACACAAAGACAGGGCATCTCTGTCACAATTCCACGCACACAAAGACAGGCCATCTCTGTCACAATTCCACGCACACAAAGACAGGCCATCTCTGTCACAATTCCACGCACACAAAGACAGGCCATCTCTGTCAGTATTCCACGCACACAAAGACAGGCCATCTCTGTCACAATTCCACGCACACAAAGACAGGCCATCTCTGTTAGTATTCCACGCACACAAAGACAGGCCATCTCTGTCAAACGCACACCAAGACAGGCCATCTCTGTCAAAGACAGGCCATCTCTGTCACACCCCACGCACACAAAGACAGCCCATCTCTGTCACAATTCCACGCACACAAAGACAGGCCATCTCTGTCAGAATTCCACGCACACAAAGACAGGCCATCTCTGTCAGAATTCCACGCACACAAAACAGGCCATCTCTGTCTTCCACGTCACAATCTCCACGCACACAAAGACAGGGCATCTCTGTCACAATTCCACGCACACAAAGACAGGCCATCTCTGTCAGAATTCCACGCACACAAAGACAGGCCATCTCTGTCACAATTCCAAAGACAGGCCATCTCTGTCACCACGCAGACAGGCCATCTCTGTCAGTATTCCACGCACACAAAGACAGGCCATCTCTGTTAGTATTCCACGCACACAAAAGACAGGTCATCTCTGTCAAAATTCCACGCACACAAAGACAGGCCATCTCTGTCACAATTCCACGCACACAAAGACAGGCCATCTCTGTCACAATTCCACGCACACAAAGGCAGGCCATCTCTGTCACAATTCCACGCACACAAAGACAGGCCATCTCTGTCAGAATTCCACGCACACAAAACAGGCCATTTTCTCTGTCACAATTCCACGCACACAAGGACAGGCCATCTCTGTCAGTATTCCACGCACACAAAGACAGGCCATATCTGTCACAATTCCACGCACACAAAGACAGGCCATCTCTGTCATAATTCCACGCGCACAAAGACAGGCCATCTCTGTCAGTATTCCACGCACACAAAGACAGGCCATCTCTGTTAGTATTCCACGCACACAAAGACAGGCCATCTCTGTCACAATTCCACGCACACAAAGACAGGCCATCTCTGTCAGAATTCCACGCACACAAAGACAGGCCATCTCTGTCACAATTCCACGCACACAACACCCTACTTAGCGCTGGTTGTGAAAGCTCTGACCATTTCGGTAGGCTTTACCATTTTGGAATAGATTATGCATTCTGTAATATATTGCAGGGCACAGCAGTGATTTCATTATATTTATGTTATAGATATACTTCAGAACCGGTTTTGTTCGTTGTGTGTAATTTAAAAATATATATGCTATAAAATGAAGTTTTTGACTTCCAAATTTTTACTGAAATCCAGTGTCTTTGATTTGAATTTATTATTAAGAGGATGTCTTTAGCAAAGGACTTTTTGGTGATAACTATAATGTGGCATTGGGCTCAAGAAACCTTTAATCTACACCCAAAATGCTTTGCCTCAGCTGCTGATGACGCTACAGCATCTGTTATGGCTGTACAGGCCCACGCGGAGTAACAGTCTCAATTGCAATGAATTGTATGTGAAGACGCTCTCCCCGATGTCGCTTTGTTGTTTTCTTCTTGTCGAGCGCGCTTCTCTCCGGCAGCAAACCTCCTCGCACAAACCCTACGTGTAAAGCGCATCTCCAGCGTGAATGATCGTTGGCGACATCTCCCACCTCTCAGTGACTCTCATGTCCCTTTTCCAGACGTCCTTGAAGCGAGCCCTCTTTCCGGTGACCAGTTCCCCGTACAGAAGGACCTTCGGAATCCTTCCATGCTGCATAAACGACATTAATGATATCTAATAATTAGATAATTAACAACTGTAACTAAGAAGATGGATCATTTATTATTATTCTTATTGAGCAGAATGCAAACAAATTTTGATTTTTCAGAAACTAAATTATTTCTTCAACTGAAAGTTTATGTTAAAGAATATTACTTTGATCCTAAACATAATTGATCCAAATTTCGATATTTGTTGGTAAAAGTGGCATACCAAATATTCGATCACTTACCAAGCCTAGAAACTCATACACCAAAAGATATAAAAATGTTACATTTTCATACAGCAGGTGAAAACAGGTGAAAAGATCCAGAAAATATTTAACGATACACCTTTTATTGTCAAGAATATTGAAACTAATGCTGATTATTCCACCGGTTTTTCTGTTTTATGATATTAATGGTGACAACTTAAAGGCTTGTAGAAATTCGTCAATAAATTATGTTAGTTTCCGATATTAAAAAGAGCATGGAATTGTCAAATATATTTTCCAAGAATTTTTGCTTGTTTGCGTATACTAAATAACAAAAAGTAAAATATTGAAACTGTCTTGAAATATTGAAATTCCATGTCTTGAAATAAATTTGCATGGCGGTGGTAATAAAGTTCTGTTTTAGGTCATTTTTTTATGACTTTGTGTTCAAAATCAGGTCACCAACTGTATTCCATTACAAACTCGTTCAGAAATGATCAAAAGACCATTTTTTCGAACCTCGTTAACAAAAAAAACTGATAAATGAAACTATATTATTTGAGGACATTCAACAGTTTAACTCAAAATTCAGTAAAATTGAGTAAAAGTAATTTTCCTGAAAAGAATTTTTTTTGAATTCCCTAAGATAATTCTTACAGAATAAGAGGACCTAAATTCTTTAAACAAAAGAAAGCCATGTGGTTTATGAAAATATTTCTGAGAACGCGAGTTCGGGGTTCGTTTGCATTAATACTATTCGCCCAAAACACTATTATTCTTACAGTGTCAAATGTTTTCCTAAGATAAGGTGATCGGAAGCAGAAAATTAGATACACCAATGTCAAATGTTAGGAGAATATCGATATAAAGGAAAACCCACAGTGCCCAAACACAAAAAAGTGTTGGCCCAGCAAGAGAGTCGTCAGAGATTTGCTCCGGGTTTCCTTTGACAGCCTTCGCTTCACAAGTACACACCCGCATTCCCGTGGCCGCAGCAGACACACGCATGGTAAAAAAATTAAGTGAAAGTCGACTGGCTAGCCTTAATTCAACAATTACTACTAGATTTCTCAAATCCCCATACAGTATGGTAGAATTTAACCCTTCTGTAGATAATAGAGACATTATATTCACCAGTTTTTATATTCAATAAAACTGAGTTATCAAGAATGCTCCTCATTTTATTGAATGAGTTCATATTCCAGCTTTAATTCCCGGCGGTATGCCCGACACAAAAATTAACTATACTACGCTCACAGACAAGAGAATTACTTATTTTTACTTCTGCAGTACACAACGGACATATTGGTCCACCACTAAATTTCGTCGTTAACCCTAATATCGTAAAATTTTGGAAATCCGAATCAACTACATCGAGACGACACACTGATGCCAATTGAGGGGGGAAAAGAATGCCGGATGACACGTTAACGTAGATAGCGACTGAAGAAAAAAGGGATTAAGGGTAACACGTTCACGTTCCGCAGTACTTTGATCAACAGATTAGAAAGGAAGCCCTCACCAATATTGCAAAGAGTGATGACGGTGGACTTGAGAAACCTAATTTTCCCGAAAAATCGTTTTAATACAAATAAGAGAATTCAACACATATATGGGTTTTATATTTGACTATATATAAAACGAGGTGTAAGAAAGGAAAGAGAAATCCATGGTTTAACAAACTACTAACATTCTACTGTGAGTGGCTATGTAACTATTTGTATAGAAAAACTGGTAATTGTATTAGGTTAAAACGAGTCATTGATAGTTAGTAGAGGTGCTGTCTGGTCGATGTAGGATATATTGTTATGCGTTAAGAAAATACATATATATTTGCTATGTTGTGCTGTTGTTGAATGAGATTTTTCGACTGGGATAAAGAAGACCCCCTGGATTAGAAACGATACAAGTTTTCTCACTACAATATCTTGAGGTGGAAAAAAGTAAGATCGTTTGTACTAATACAGTATTATACAACGCCACAAAGCGAGCGTTAAAAGGAGCATCCAGCAGACAAGGTGGTGTAATCTCACATGTGTGCAGAGTTAATTATATAAATATAATTATTGAATAGTGGAATAAAATTTGCAAATATTAATAAAATTATTTTTTCTTTATTTTATTCCTAAATTATTTTAATGCTTAAGATGAGTATTTTTATAAAAGTTTGAAATCAATTTCTGATTGATTGATTGATACAGGTAGGTCTTCTGTGATTTCTTCTGATCAAGAAATAATCATAATTAAGTATACTATTTAATTAGCAAATTATTAGCTATCACTGATGGTTATTACTTAATTTGTCTATTAAGTTTTAGAAGAGAACAGCGAGGCTCAGGTTATGGCTTTTGATATCAAGGTTTGGCATGGCGATTTTTTCCAAGATGAAAAGCTATGGTATTTCTTGCATAATATTTAAGTTGATCCAACCTTCCTTAACAAATTATGTAATTAAATATCATATTGAACGGCCACCCTTCTAGATCTGTTCACAATAATGCAGGTTTATCCAGATCCTTATCCTTGGATTTACATTGTTTTTTTTAACTTCAACAACCTTCCCGATGTCATATGTGTACAAATCGGTATCGATGTTGATGACACAACTATTTATAACCTATCTTCATAGTCCGACAGGTCCGATATCCTCGCACCACAGTTATAGTCCAAGGTTAGAACCAAGGAAGAACAACACGAACACAAGAGTAGAATAACAAAGATATATTACAACAGAAATATAGTACAAGAAG